CCCCCAACAACACTCTACACCCGAACATACAAAAAAAAACCACAACAAAAACACAAAAAACCCACAGGTACACAAACAAAAAACCCCACACAAAAACCACTGAACAGTGCATTTTTGTAAGAGTTTTAGGGCATTTGCTACATAATTAGGTCATATGAGAGTCGAAGATTAGAGTATTCAGAGATGTTATAAGAGAGTAACGAACATAGCAAAAGAAATAGAAGAGATAAGGACGATATATGTTTGATTGCAAAAAGGAGGAAACTACACCAGAGCACCCGCCAACCACCCATGAAGCACGTAAAGCAAACACATTAACACATGCAGACTCATCAGAGCGCTCACCTATTGGGGTGGTGTCGAAGAAGGCCATGGGGGAGCGCATGACATTGGACAGCATCATGTTGTGTAGCGCGCCAGACGCTGACACAATCTTCCACAGTATGGTAGCGGCGTACGTGTACAGGAAAAACCCTGTCAGATGTTAAAAAAAAAGGTTTTGTGTGAGTTTTATGGCACTCGCAACTTTACTGCATACGGTCATATAAGCGCGCAAAAAAACAAACCCGTCTGAGGGACGCATATACATACAATGTATACATACAAATATATATATATATATACATGTATATATGTGTGTGTGTGTGTGTGAGTATGTGAGTGTGTGTGTGTCCGCGCCATTTACCGATCTGCGCAATCTTGCGCTGCGTCGTTTTCACGATCGTAAAATTACGCGGCCATCTTGAGATTGTGCTGCGCGTTAACGATCGCAGTAATCTGACGATTGCGTTAATATTTTAAATTAAAAAAAAAATGTTCTTTGTTAAAATACACTCCCATCTTTATTCTTTAACTCTCAAGGAACATTCACATACATTTTCGAAGGTGTAAAAGAATAAATAAAGATATGGAAGTGAATAAAAAAAATTAATTAAATGTACTTTGTGAACTTTGAGTTTGATACCTGGCATTGTATCATTCTTGTGAGCTCTTCTGTTTTATATGTAATTTAAATTTTCATATTTTTACACTTTTGGAAATGTATGGGAATGTTCTTTGATGTGGGTTAAAGAATAAAGATGAAAGAGTATTTTTAAAAAATAAATTATTTCAAAAATGTAAAATTTTAACACAATCTTCAGATTGCCGCGCAGTTATATCATCGTTAATTAAGATTGCGCTGCACGCGTTAACGATCGTTAAAATACGCAGCGCAATCTTAAGATGGCCGCGCAATTATACGATCGTGAAAACGCGCCGCGCAAGATTGCGCAGATCGATAAATTGCGCGGAACTTCACACCTCTCAGCTGCTACCCTTTCTGATAATGACATGCGTCAGTCTTATTCCACTTACCACCAGTGCTTGCATTTCATTGGACCACTGTTTGACCTATTAAAAACAGAAACATTTCTCTTTAACTACCTGTGTAAAACGGAATCCTGTCCAACGCGGAAATTAAAAGGAAAAATCCACTCCATTCCGAGGGTTTTACTTGTTAGAAAATGCTTTGTCCGCTCAGCCCTGATTTGAAACAAAACTCGCAAGTTTGGCTCCGCCGGCCCTAACTTAACACTTAACGCCTTGCTGCAGGGCGAGGAAGGGGAGTAGCAGTGCAATTTGAGGGTAGATCCCCACATTTATGTGAGCCGAGACGTGCTGATATCAGCACGTCTTGATGTGAGCCCTGAGCAAGAAGATGGCCAGGGTGGTGTGGGTGTGAAATCTCACGAGTGCAGGTGAAAGTGTTCGAGTGACGCTCCAGCACGGAAACTTTCATTGGTAGCCAGAGGCCAGAGGTGTGAAATTAGTTTGACCAGTGTCTGCCGCCCTGATCGTACGGCATTCCGAGAAAAGAGTTAATCGAATCGTTGTTACATGGCAGTGAGGGGTGGCATTGGTTGACTGAGCTGTGCTTATTACACCGATGGGTGGGGCTAAGGGTGGAAGCTAGGCAGTCTTAAACGTTTATGACCGCCTAGTCCTAGGGTGGAAGCAAAGGAGATGTTCAAACGTTTCTGTTTTTAGTAGGTCAAATAGTGGTCCAATGAAATGCAAGCACTGGTGGTAATTGGAATAAGACTGACGCATGTCATTATCAGAGAGGGTAGCAGCAGCTAAGAGGTGTGAAGTTTTGACCACTTGTGACTGCTTGCTGACCGGTCGAGCGACCCTTGATCCCACCAGCTGGGCCTCCTCCACTCCACCCCCCTAAAATCCCCTGTCTAAGACGGAAAATGTCCTAGACGGAATTTATTTCTTGCTCCCTTGCGGTTCCGTCTTACACAGGTTTGACTATTTATATTTTATGAGTCATTTTTAAAAAAATGTCGCATTTAAAAAAAATTTTGATTCCAGACCTAATTCCTTGGATACCAATATTAAATATTGCTTAGATTTGCCTTTGACTATGTTCATGAAAAGGCAAAACGTTCATTGACCTTAAAATCAGGTTTTCAAAACTGTCCAAGTCATATAAATTTTACAGCTCTTTTGTAAA